ATCTTTCTTATTGCCTTATGGAAGATAGCTCTGTAGTAGGGAAATTAGCCCTTTGATTTTGATAAAGTATGCACAAGATTTTTCTTAGTGCTTTTGTACAGCATATGGTGATTTTTGCCATGTGAAATTCTTCAATTTTATGTTGACAAGTGTTTTGATCTTTCTTTTTTTAATGGCTTCTGGATATGTGTCACACTCCAAGATTGTAAAAATATTCTGCCTTGGTTTATTCTTGAATTTCTATGGCTTCATTCTTTTGGGTCACTTCGACACCTTTGGTCCATTTGGAGTTTATTGAGGTATAAATTGTGAGATATGGATTCAATACTATTATTTGTCCAAGTAATGACTCACGTATCTCACTTATTGAACATCCAGCTCTTAGCATATTCTTAAAAATATTTAGGTCTATCTCTGGACTCCCTAGTCTGTCCCATAAGTTTGTTTATTTAATGTGTCACACTATTTTAATTATTGTAGTTTTATATTATGTTTTAATATTGGTTAGTTCTACCTCACTGCCTTCTTGTTAGGGAGTTTCTTGGCTTTCTTAGATTGCTTATTTTTCATGGTGAACTTTAGAATCAGCTTGTACAATTCCACACTCTCCCTCACCAAATTCCACTGGTGATTGTATTTATTATGTTAAATGTATAGATTAGCTTAGGGGCATTTATATTTTATGATGTTAAGTCTTCCTATTCAAGTTCATGGTATGTTTTTATATTTGTCCAAGTTTATTTTGTGTCATTTGATTATATTTAAAAATTTTCTTCAATAGGTATTCACATTCTTGTTCTAATTATTAAGAAATTTTTTGTTTATTTCTAATGTGAGATTCCCTCACCCCCACATCAATTAACTGCTATTATTTGCATATATGTGAGTTTTTGGTTCTGTGTATTTATTTTGATATCTTATGGGATTCTCTTATTGTTTATAGTATGTTTTAAGTTGTATTCTTTTTTTTTTTTTTTTTTTTTTTAACTCGAACTCCTGACCTTGTGATCCAACTGTCTCGGCCTCCCAAAGTGCTGGGATTGCAGGAGTGAGCCACCATGCCTGGCCGTGAATACTTTTATTTATTTATTTTTTTTTGGGAAAAAGAAGGGGAAAAAAAGAAAAAGAGGGAAAAAGGAATATTACTTCATTCCTAAAATGGGTTTCAATAATGGCCGATCAATATTTTGAGTGTTTAAAGTGGTTAATGCATATTTTATGTGTTTAAAATGGAGACCTCTATTGTGTTTATTTGTTCTGGCTCTGAGTTCAAGTCCTGGATACCGTTATCAATTTGTTGTCTCGTTGAATCTAAATCTCATTATGTGTCTTATGTATCTGGGTGTTAAGATCTCTTATTGTTACATTAATCCTTTTACCCTTGCATCCTTGTAGCTTTGAAATCTATTTTATTAAGTGTGAGAATTGCAACTCCTGCTTTTTATTTATTTATTTTTGCTCTCCGTTTGGTTGGTGAGTTTTTTTCCATCCCCTTGTTTTGAGTCTTTGTATATCTTTAGATATGTCGTTAGATTTTGTGGATAATGTATATTTTGTGTGTTTAAAATGGAGAGCTCTATTGAGTTTATTTGTTCTGGATCTTAGTTCCAGTCCCGAATATCGTTATCAATTTTCTGTCTTGTTGAATCTAAATCTCATTATGGGTCTTATGTATCTGGGTGTTAAGATCTCTTATTATTACATTAATCCTTTTACCCTTGTATCCTAGTAGGTTTGAAATCTATTTTGTCAAATGTGAAAATTGCAACTCCTGCTTTTTATTTATTTATTTTTGCTTTCCATTTGGTTAGTACATTTTTTTTTCCAATCCTTTATTTTGAGTCTATGTATATCTTTGGATATACCATTAGATTTTGTCTGTATCTTTTGATTGGGAGATTTGGTCGATTTAAATTTAGGGTTGCTGCCATTTGCTATTAACTGGCTATTTTGTCCTTTCGTTGATAAAAATTCTTCTTTATGTTAATGCTCTTTACTTTTTGGTGTATTTTTAGAAAGGGTCATACTGGTTGTTCCTTTCTGTGTATAATGCTTCTTTTAGAAGTTCTTGTAAAGCAGGCCTGGTGGTAATAAAATCTCTGAGTACTTGCTTGTTCCTAAAAGATTTTATTTTTCCTTCAAATGTAAAGCTTAAATTGGCAGGATATGAAATTCTGGACTGAAAGTTCTGTTGATTAAGTATATTGAATATTGGCCCCCATTCTCTTCTAGCTTGTAGGGTTTCCGTTGAGAGATCTGCTGTAAGCCTGATAGGCTTATCTTTATGGGTTACTTGATCTTTCTCTCTGGCTGCCCTTAATATTTTCTCCTTCGTTTCGATCTTGGTGAATCTAACGATTATGTGCCTTGGGGTTGGTCTTCTTGAGGAATATCTTTGTGGTGTTCTCTGTATTGCCCGGGGTTGAATAGTGTCCTGCTTTGCTAAATTAGGAAAATTCTCCTGGATAATGTCCTGGAGAGTATTTTCCAGCTTGAATTCATTCTGTCACATTCAGGTACACCAATCAAGCGTATATTAGGTCTTTTCACATAGTCCCATTTTGCTTGGAGACTTTGCTCATTCCTTTTTATCCTTTTTTCTCTATTCTTGTCTTGTCGTTTTGTTTCATTAAGTTGGTCTTCGACCTCTGATACCCTTTCTTCTGCTTGATCCATTCGGCTGTTTAAGCTTGTACATATTTCACTAAGTTCTCGTGTTGTATTTTTCAACTCCATAAGTTCATTTGTATTCCTCTCTATATTGTCTATTCCTTTCAACATTTCATCTAACCTTTTTTCCAAGTTCTTAGTTTCTTTACATTGGGTTAGAACAAGTTCCTTTAACTCCCAGAAGTTTCTTATCATCCACCTTTTAAAGCCTACTTCAGATAATGGAACACAGTCCTTTTCCATCAGGGCTTGTTCTGCTGCTGATGAGTCCTTTTCCATCAGGGCTTGTTCGGTTGCTGATGAGTCCTTTTCCATCAGGGCTTGTTCCCTTGCTGATGGGTTCTGATTTTGAGTATACTCGGCCTTCTTAGGCTGTTTTTTCCCCTTCATTGTAGATGAACCGCCTTTCTAATTAGGTTTCTGAGTCGACGTCCGACTTATTGATTCCCAGTGCTGGGATCGGAGCAACCCACTGTGGCGGCCTAAATAGCAGCGATAAGACTGATGGTGCTCTTCTGCCCGGGAATCTCTGGTCTGTCTTCCCTCTTGAGTCCGCAACAAGTGGCTCTGATTTCCCCTAGCTCCAAACTCCGGTCAGTAGGGGAAGCAGTCCCGTTGGCTCTGCATGAAGAGCTGCTGTGCCAAGACTCTGGCAAAACCGCTGCGGCGGCCACAAGAGTCGCGCTGGCGACCCGTGGGGCTCCTCCACTGGGAATCGGCTGATCGGTGAGTGACGAAAATTCGTCTAAAAGTGTGTCGTCTCGTTCTCTGAGCTTTCACTGGGAGCTACAATCCTGAGCTGTTAGTGATCGGCCATCTTGGATCCATCCCACTTAAGTTGTATTCTTTAGGTATATTGTTTGCATATAATAATTTTACTTCTTCGCCAATTAAATACTTATAAATTTGCTTTTGAATACTGGTTTGAGTTAATATCTCAAGAACAATATTAAATTATAATGATGATGGTGTCATCTTATTATCAACTTTGATGGGATTATCTTTTCATATTTTTTCATTAAGCATGATGCTGACTTTTGGGTTGAGACAGATGTGTTCCATTATAAGGTAGTAGTTATCTTTTTTCATTTTATTATTTATCAAGAATGTATACAGAATTTTATTAAATACATCTTCAACATTTATGCAGAAGGCTATAGTATTTTTATTTTTAAATCTATTAATACAGGTAAATAGGTTTTCTGATAATCATGTTTTTGTTCTAGAAATAAATCTTACTTGGTCATTATATATCAATTTTTAAATACTTTGCTGGATTATTTTGCTATTTTCTTTTTTTTGAATGGAGTCATGCTCTGTCTCCCAGGTTGGAGTGCAGTAGTGTGATATTGGCCTACGGCAACCTCTGCCTTCTGGGTTCAAGTGATTCTCCCACTTCACCCTCCCAAGTAGCTGAGATTACAAGCACACACCACAACACCCAGCTAAGTTTTGTATTTTTAGTAGAGACAGGGTTTTGCCATGTTGGCCAGGTTGGTCTTGAACTCCTGACCTCAGTTGATCCACCTGCCTTGCCCTCCGAAAGTGCTGGGATTACAGCATGAATTTTATTAAATTTTTAAAATTTAATACTATAAATTTTAAAGTATTAAAGTAGTATTAAAATTAATACTACTACCTTATAATGGAACACATCTGTCTCAACCCAAAAAATCAGCGTCATGCTTAATGAAAAAATATGAAAAGATAATCCCATCAAAGTTGATAATAAGATGACACCATCATCACTATAATTTAATACCACACCTGGTCTATTTTGCTGATTTATTTATTTATTTATTCATTTTGATGGAGTCTTGCTATGTCACCTAGGCTGGAACGCAGTGGCTCAATCTTGGCCAGCTCACTGACATGACTGCCTCCCAGGTTCAAACGATACTCCTGGCTCAGCCTCCCGAGTAGCTGGGATTACAAAGTGCCACCAAGCCTGGCTAATTATTTGTATTTTTAGTAGAGATGGAGTTTCACCATTTTGGCCAGGCTGGTGTTGAACTCCTGACCTCAGGTGATCGACGTACCTCGGCCTCCCAAAGTGTTGGGATTACAGGTGTGAGCCACTGTACCCGTCTGCATCAGTTGTTTGTGTATGTGTGTGTTAGTTCTGTTGAGGTTTTGGTATTCATGGTGTGTGACTGGAATCACACGTCCATCTTGAGCTACTCTGTCACCGGGGGAATGCTCAGGTCTAGGTCACATGGTTACTCCTGGGTCTGGCAGTGGGGTCAGTTTCATCTGCAGCATAAGGGCTGAGAGTTGGTTTGCCCATGGCAAAACTGGGACCCAGTTACCCAAGAAGGAGAGATACTCACCAGATGGAGAAAACCACAGATGTCCCACCATAGGCATGTTAGCGATAATGTAGCTTGGATATTTCAGGCTTCATTTACAGTAGAGGCAGGAAGCTCCTTGGCTGATAGCTGAGTGAGTCATCAACACTGTTATCAACCCTTGATTGACAACTTCCAGACTTCTTTTATGAGGGAGAATAAATCCATAATTTGTTTAAGCCATTAACAGGAGCACCTTCTATGTGGAAATAAAAACTTAAAATATTGTGTCTGGAAGACCCAAAGACTGGAGCTATTTTATAGCACTCAATTTTAAGATCCCAGAGTGAATTCAGATACAAAGAAGGGGGCTTAAATTGCATCTCCTTATTTGCAGTTTAGTTATGTGGATTTATTAGATGATAAATCACCTCCAGCTTACCTGGGATTTAGCACCACCTTCTTTCCAAAAGCATCTAAGTTTTCACAAGCCATCGGCAAGATGGTCTCTATATATCTCTCTGCACCTTTAGTTGCCTGTAGACAATGACATCATTCCTGTTATCCTTTCCCGCATTCAGTTAACCTTTAAGAAAACAAGAAAATACCCATCCTCCCTGCAGAGGGTGGGACTGGATGCTGGATTGAAGTTGGAGTAAGGTTGAAAGAAAAAGTTGGCCATGTATAGAGAGAAGGGACACCGGATCCTATGTTCAGTATAGGAAATTAAAAACAGTTACTGAGTTTAAAATAATTTCCATGTTCTCAGGAATCAATGTGAAAATACCTGATTTCCACCTGGAGGTAGCTCAAGTGCTTTATAAAATATTCACATAGGGAAGATATGCTTCCTTGCTGTCTTTTTATTCAAGACCAAATTTAAACCTACCTTAGATCAAATCAATATTACAGTGATAATGTAAAATAAATTAAAACTGTTTTAAACAGCTGTTAGAACAGTGGTTTAATTCAAATGAGAGCAAGTCTAGAGGGGAGAAAGTAAATGTGAACCTGTCTCAAACAGCATTTAGGAATTGTTCAGTGATAATAGACTAAAATAATCTAAATATAAATGCTAACACTTAAATGACTAATTTTAATAAAGATACTACTAATTAAAGGAATAAAATAATTACCTAGTGCTTGTAGCTATAATGCATGCAAAGCATATTTATTCTTCATGACAGTTCTTCAAAGACACTTAAAACTCCCATGTACTTAGTATTTATATTTTTGTATTGCCTTTTTGGGTTGATTGGCAGGAATTATTGGAAGTGGAGGAAAGGTACTATGGAAGGTGGAGAAGCATAAACTAGTGATTTGGAGGCTTGGGGCCTCATTCTGGTTCTGCAGCTACTCAGTCTGGATAGCTATTAGCTTCTTCAGCGCGTCCTCTTCCTCCTCAGAAAAGATCTTTGGAGTGTCCTATCCAATTTCCACATCCTACACCTTCACAAGTCAGGAGTGGTAGTTACCTTGCAGAGACAGCAAGTGAGCAAACAGCTAAAACTCTCAACAAACCAAAGCCCAGCAAGCACTGTGCAACATATCATATGTTACTGACCATACAGATACATGATAAACATGTCACATACATGACACATGTCACACACATATATGATACAATCACACACACATGATATATACATTATATTTATGACACATACATTATACATATGTACATATATTATATATGTAGATCTATATTTGTCTCTATAGCTCATGCACAATATCTACTGAGTATCAGACTTTACATTGTACATAGTATGTACTAAGTGTCAGACTCTGAACTGTAGGAGATTCATATATCAGAGACAGAGTAGAGATTCAAACAAAGCATGGCTCCTAAGCCAGACTCCTCCCTATGTTTGAGTCTTGGCCATGCCCCTTGCAAACTGAGGTACTTTAGACATTTTACTTCAGCTCATTTCACTGCAATTTTGTCCTTTAATTGGGCACCAGTCATAGTTCCTACCTCATCATGCTGGCATTATGATTAAATGAGATAATATATAAAAAATATTCATATTAGTGTCTGGTACACTGTAAATACTCCACATCATCACTATCATCTCATTTTATAGAGCTACCTAGAGCTCTGTAAAATTGAGGTTTCTGTCTCCATGTTATAGGACCTCTGAAGGTCAAAGAGAATAACTTGCCCAGTACTATCATGGGTCCTGATAGAACTATTCTGGCCAAAGTAGGCTGGTGCTGTTCTTCATAATAGAAAGTCGTCACCAGGCAATGTGTCCCTTCTCTCTATATGTGGCCAACCTTTTCTTTCAAGCTGACTTCAGCTTCAATCCAGCAGCCAGTTCCACCTTCTGCAGGGAGGAGGGGTGTTTTCCTGTATCCTTAAAGGTTAACTGAATGTGGAATGTAGGAAGGGGTAGCAGTAATCATGTCACTGCCTACAGGCTATTGAAGGTGCAGAGGGAAATATAGAGACCATCTTGCAAATGACTGCAGAAAAGTTAGATGTTTTTGGAAAGATGGTGGGTGCTAAATCCCACGGTAAGCTAGAGGTGATTTATCGACCCATGTAAATGATTTAGTTTGGATCTTAGTTCAAATTCTGGGAAATCAAGCTTGGTAACCTTTGCAATTTCTTCTAAATAGGTTTCTTTGTTCTTTTCCTTTTTTCTTTTTTGAGATGGAGCTTTGCTCTTATTGCTCAGGCTGGAGTGCAATGGCACGATCTTGGCTCATGGCAACCTCTGCTTCTTGGGTTCAAGCGATTCTCCTGCCTCAGCCTCCCAAGTAGCTGGGATTACAGGCATGTGCCACCACACCCAGCTAATTTTGTACTTTTAGTAGAGATGGGGTTTCTCCATGTTAGTCAGGCTGGTCTCAGACTCCCGACCTCAGGTGATCTGCCCACCTCGGTCTCCCAAAGTGCTGGGATTACAGATGTGAACCACCACACCTGGGCTAAATATAAATTTCTAAGGCTGTGAATGATGACACAGTGTACCCAGGCTGGCATTCTCACAGGATGCTGTGGTGGACACAGAGTATAAAAAAACTCATCAGGAGTCTTGTTCTCATTGAGGCCACTGGCTCCCAAATAGCTATCTGTGCTGGCCTGGGAAGTTGGTTTTCTCCATTTGTAACAAGATGCAAAAAATAAAGAATTATATTTGCATTAGTTTGTAACATTTTTTATAATACACTACAGGTATAATGCAATCGAGCTGTAACTCTAAATTAGACCTATGAAAAGAAATGTGTCCTGTAAATTGTTTTGAAATTTTTTCATTCCACCAAATCCAGAAGCCTTAGAATTTCTAAGAGTATGCAGCCTTCTACTTGGCAGAAATAGTACACCTGATATCACTAGTCATGCTGCCTGGCTCATTGGGAATAATCAGACCTGCTCTGCCACTTACTAATGTGTGACCTCCAGTAATTTTATATCATTGGGACTCAGTGGTTTAAAAGTATAGTGATTTAGTTCTTACCTCATATGTCCATTGGAGGTTCCATTGCTTCACCACTCTCAGGGACACAAGCTGAAGGAGCCCCCATTCCACCTCTTGGAATCTTGCCAGTTGTCATGCTAAGGAGAGGGGAACACAGTGGGACATGCACTGAATTTTAAAAGTTTCCATCTGGAAGTGGTGCACACTATTTTTTGCACATTTCATTGGTCATGGCAAATGGTATGACCACATGTAACTTTAAGGAGGGCAGGAAAGTAAAGTCTTAACTAAGAAGTTCCTGGAAGGAAGAGAGGTGGAAATATTGGCAAGGAGCAGCAAGGGCAGATGTACTATCATTCACCTCATATTCCATTCTGTTTATTTTAGCTCAGCATTTCTACTGATTGAGATAAATGTACTTGTTGATTCTGGTGTGAGTTTTATTAGCTGCCCAAAGTTTCAACTCCGTGATATTTCCCTAAAAATTCTTGTAGCTTGGTAGTGACCCCCGACTGGCATGTTGCTAAATAGTTTTGAGTCCACTTAGCTGAACTTTCTCCATAAAGTGATTACAAGAAATTCTATCACTTTTGTTTTTGGCTGAAATTAAGACACATTATTGGTATATGTTGCCTCTGACTTGTCAATATAGGGTCTCTATCAAAAAAGGAAATGAGATGAGTTAGGATGAAGATTTGACATTCTGTGAGTTGGGAATAATATAAAACAAAAGCCTGGATTTTTGGCTTTCATTTAAACATAGAGGCAATATTATTTTAATCACTTTTGCTAGTGTGACAGGGTGATATATTAGTTGGACTTTTTAGTTGGGGACTTGAGGGTCTTGCAGATGATTGAAAAACTGTAGTGAAGTACCAGATCAGCTTTCAGAATCTACAGGAAAGATCCATTTCTCTGAGAGTGATAATAGTAACAATACTTAACACTTGCATGGCACTTAGTACATGGATGTTTTGGGACCAGGACATGCAAATCAATATGCCCTTTTCCAGTATTAATCATGTTGCTCCACCTATAAGCTAAGATGCTGGAAGATTTAGTCTTATTTATTTATTTATTTATTTTTGAGACGGAGTCTTGCTCTGTCACCCAGGCTGGAGTGCAGAGGCCTGATCTCAGCTCACTGTAATCTCCACCTCCCTGGTTCAAGCTATTCTCCTGCCTCAGCCTCCCAAGTAGCTGGGACTACAGGTGCATGCCACCACGCCTGGCTAATTTTTTGTAGTTTTTAGTAGACACAGGGTTTCATCGTGTTAGCCAGGATGGTCTCCATCTTCTGACCTTGTGATCCACCCACCTGGGCCTCCCAAAGTGCAGGGATTACAGGCGCGAGCCATCCCACCAGGCCGTTTTCCTTTTTAGCCTGGAGAAAAATGAAAGGATATTGTCTTGTTTCTGCCAAAATATGCATTTTAAAGATTAAAGACTAAGAGAATACTTCAAGAAAATAAAATTCTCTGAAACATGCAGTAACCGGCACTCAGAAAATAAAACCACTTTTAATTCTCCTATATTTCAAAGTAATATGGAATACACAAACAAAGGGGTTGCTCAGGCAAAGGTATAATAAACTGAAATGTGATTTTAATTAACTCACAACCTTTTTACACTTCGTCTTGCTTCGTTTGTGTGTGTGTCTTGATGGAAGGGAATGAACAGCACTATCTACTAGTCCAGGACTCAAGGTAAGAGAAGTTAGTTTCAGGAAAGTGGAAGAACCACCTGAATGACGACATTGGTACCAGCAGAGGGTGCTGCCGTGGCACAAAATTAAGAATTTACAAAAGGAAAAGGTCTCGGATTAAAAGATAGCAGGTGTGAGGAAAAATGTAATAACTGTTTGTATCCACTTGGAGGTCTGAATTCTCGGCTTGCCTATATGTCTGGGGTTGAGTGATTTCCTGCAATGGCCACATGCGTTTTAGACATCTCCTAAGGCAGAAAAGTGTGACATTTGCTTCTGCGTTTGAACAGGACAGGGAGAGGCCATGCAGTTCCCCTCCTGTTTCCACTGGAGGACTTTAGAAGCCCCTGGCGTCTGTGACACCTACAGCATAAGTTTACATGGAGTCCTTACTTATTTTCTTAAAAACAAAACAAGCTATTTTTGTGTTCACTAAAAAAAATTGGCTCAGATTGTCAATCCAGGGGAATCACATTTTCTTTTTTCATTTGGCCACCTTAAAACGAAGGTAAAAGGTACATAGGAACCCACAGGTAGTAGAGATTGCGAAATGTCAGGTGGAGGAGACGAGGTTGGCTGCGCTTTATTCAGCGGAGTGCAGCCTTCTCGGCGGTCACAGCACCAGCCAACCCCGCCAGGACGCGTAGAAGAGCCCCGCGAAGTAGGTCACAGCGATTCTATACAGAGTCCTATAGCTATTCCTTCCGCTAGCAGCTCCTCTGCCAACCTGCGCTTCTGAACTGTTCTATCTGGCGTTTTGGGCTGGGAGTAAATTGATCCACTGGGTTCGAGTCCAGCCTTTCTGGGCCTCAGTTTCCCCGTGAGGTTCAACGACAGGGGTGGACAGTCTGATCCTGAGACCTCTTCCCGCTCTCACACGGCGCGGCCAGACATTCCTTAGTCCCGGCGCTCTGGAAAGGGCCGGCGAGAAGGAGACAGCTCGGTCAGCACCAAGGACAAGGGCCCCGGGCCCGCCTGGCGGACGCGAGGTTTCTTTCAGGCGAGCCCGGTCGCCGAGCGAGCGTCGGGCGCAGGGTTCCGCGGCCGGGCGGGAGGGCTGGAGGTGGCAGGAGAAGCGCTGTGGGAAGGGGAGCAGACCCGGGGGATGAGGCAAGGCCGGGCCCCGGGGCGGTCTCCCAGATTCTGCGCCAAGAGGCCGCGGGCGGCTGCTGGGAGCGCACCACCCCTCCCTTGGGGCGCCCTGCCCTGCTCCGGCCTGGGGGCTCACCCAGTGCTCCCCGCTCTGGAGGCCCCTGAAAGTCCCTCTCCCGCACGCGTGGACCTCTCCAGCCCCTTTCCTGCCCTAGCGTCGCCTGGCTCCCGGTCCAACGGCTCCGTCTGGACACACGCGTGACTCCGACCCACTCCTGGGGTCTGCGGTCCCGCGTCGCCTTCCTGCAACCCCCACCCCAACTCCCCGCGGGGAGAGAGGTACCACTCTCGGGTGCTTCCGAGCAGGGGCCGCCGGGCGCCCCGCCCCCCTCTCGCCCCGCCCCGCCCCGCCCCGCAGGCCCCGCCCGCCGTTGCTCGGGGAACCGCGGATCCCTCGGCTGCAGGAGGCGCCCGGCCCCGCCGAGCAGCCCTAGCCGCCACCGCCGCCGCTCTCGCTGCTCTCGCCGCCGCCGCCACCGTCACCGCGTCCGGACTTCGGCTCCCGCGCCTTCCCGGCCGGCCATGCCGCCCCGACGCGCCCAGGGGCCCGTTGCGCAGGTGCTGCCCTCGCCGGCCCTGCTGCTGCTGCTGCTGTTCGGCGCGGGGCCCCGTGGCAGCCCCCTGGCCAGCCCGGTGCCCGCCGCACCCCTGTCCGCGCCCGGGCCGTGCGCCGCGCAGCCCTGCCTGAACGGGGGCGTGTGCACCCCGCGACCCGAGGCGGACCCGCAGCACCCAGCCCCCGCCTCCGAGCCCGACTACAGCTGCACTTGCCCCGCCGGGATCTCCGGCGCCAACTGCCAGGTTAGTGGAAGCGGCGGGCGCGGCGCGGGGCGCTGGTCCCGGACCTGCAGCCTCTTCCCGCCGGCCCTGCTGCCGCTGCCCGACACTGGGCTCCTGCACGCCGGACCCAGGCTTTCCCACATGGGGAAGGCGACTGATCCAGCCTCCTGGCCCGCGTGGCCGGGGACCCCCGGGCCGACCCTGACTCCCTTACCCATCCCGGTTCCCGGGCGGGGCCGGCTGGGCTCTCGGGGTGTGCCTCTCCGGGGCTCGGCACTCCTCCTGCGGTGCTCCCGACGCTCCGGTCGGCCACCGAGTGGCGCGCCCTTCCCGGCCCGGCCGAGCCTGGATCCGCTGGCGTGGTGGAGCCGGCTCTGAGCGTCCCCGGCGAGGTGTTCAATGTCCAGGTGGTCCCCGCTCCCCGTCCCGCGGGACCCTGTGTGTGCGATGTGGGAGGCAAGGGATGGTGGGCCCCAAGGGATGGTGGGCCCAGCGCCAGGTGGTCAGGCACTTTCCTTCTCTTCCTCCGCCCTTGAGGGCTGTGAAAAGGCAGCCAGAGGCCGAGGAGGGCAGCTGCCTCCCCTTGGCCTGCGACCAGCACTCTCCAAGCTTAGGAGCAGTGGTGGAACAGTCGAGGGGGCATTGTGCGTGGGGCTGGCGGGGACGCCCTTCTGCCGGACGCTCCTGGGGCTCACGCTCGGAGCTGGCAGCCGGGGCGTGAGCAGGGCACCGGGAAGCCGCCAGAAAGCGTGGGGCGGTGTGAGGGATGGGACGATGAGACGTAGCCAGCAGCCGCCCGTGAATTTGGGGTTTCCAAGAGAATTTGGCAGAAAATAATATCTGGGGCTTTTATAAGTACGGTAAAGCTCGGTGAAACCTACTAACACCGACAATTTCAGAAGGCAATTTGGTAGAACTGTGTGTACAGGTAGAAAATCCCCAAACCTCGGTTGCAGGGTAGGGCAAATGATGAATTTATCTGAAATGATTACATTAAACCACATGAATATGGAAGATATTTGGGATCAGATACTATCTTTTTTACATTGAGGGTGGAGGAGTTTGTTTCATATAAATTTGATAACAATGGTTGGAGACTTACTTTGCGAATGCTCACATAGGTTCTTTCAACCGGGAAAAGTCTGCCCTTTGAATATGACAGGTTTTACATTTTTTTTTACAGAGGTGAACGGGATTGAGATGCTTGACCTTGACAGGCAGATTTTTTTTTTTTTTTTTTTGCATGTACCTAGAAACTTTTTATTTCCTCTAATAGCGAATTAGCAACCAGATTCTGTCTTTTCAACATTGGGCTCTTCCTCTTTGTTTGCTGGTTTCAATAAGCTTCAGTTCCTTGAAGGGAGGTGATGATGAGGAGGAAGAATTTGTGTGTGATGTGAGCATCAGGAGTAGGTTCCCGGTGATAGCTTCTTGGGGAAACGCCTGTTGGAGCCATTCTAAACACTAGAACAAAATCTTGCTTTTGCAAAAGTGAAAAGAACTGCAAATCAAAAACCAGGGAATGGACTCATGCTAATTTTCCCTGTATATTGATAATTTATATGACTTTTCCTGAAGAGATGAATTGTCTGAGTGTGCCCATCAAACTGTTGTTATATTTGTATGTCTGAATTTTATCCTGGAAAGAAATAATTAATTTGCTCCTAGGGTTTAGTGGGAACGGATGGGAGAAGGTAGGTTAGAGTGCACCTCTATATGTGAAGAAAGACTGGACATTGGGAATTTAACACAACTCTGAGATTTTTTTAGTGACTCTAAAAATAGATATAAGATATATTTAAGAAAAAGAGCTCTTTCGTGCTGCCTAAAGATGACTAACAGAGAAACATAAATATTTTGATTTGTTCTAAGTAGTGACTTGATATATAATATAGTTCATTCAAAACAGTCATGAACTAATACATAACATTGCAGAACCAACTGGTTCAAAACGGATTCAGGTTTCCTTTGTAGTTCACATTGGCGGTAGGCTTAGCTGTGTGAACACCGCTCACCTGAGTAGAAGCAATACTGCATGCCCTGGCGTGCAAATTGAAGAGAGCGCTGAAGTAACTGTAATCCTTATAGGAAAGCTTAGTCAACTTGGAATTTGATTGGACTTGGTTACCTAGAAAAACTTACTGAGATGATTCAGAGCCTTATAATCCATAAAAATGGATTCCTGATGATTTTAATTTAATTATTCATGATCTCACAGTAAGACTTGAGACTCATTTTTCATGAGAACAGAAAAGAACACAAAAGACAATTGCAAAAGGGAAGTTAAAACCTGGGTGATGGGGAAGGGAGGGGAGAGAGGGAGAGAGGAACTGCACATACTCAATTACAGATAAGGAAAATGGATCTTAGCCATCGAGGACGATGTGGTTGCTGAAATAGAACCTCGTGCTAACTGGATAAATTGGAAATGGAATTTTACCTGGTGTAAAGAGGACCTTTTAAACAGACGTCACTCCTCCTCCTCCAAAGCCGAGGTTAGCTATGGTAACGTTAGACCCTAACCTTGAAGTTTCTTTTTGTATGTAGAGAAATTTTAAGAAAATAATAAACTACACATTAGTATTAATATGGATTAAGGCTGTCTTTAGCTTTACTGTGGTTGGCTGATTGAGTTTGGGTAAGTTAGTGGGGTCCAGGACGTGCTTTTTGTGTCACCTGAGTGACAGGAACTCACAGGATTTGGGAACTGTGGGTTGTGTGGGTTTGAAGTCAAGCTGAAGTGACCACTGCTGGGTCTTGTTTCCTCATCTTTAACAATGGGGCTTATCTCACAGGACTCCTCATGAAGAGAGTGATTCCATTTCTTGATGCCTGATTGCGGCTGGTATCTTTAAAGGCTCACCTCTCCCTTTTCCTCCACAGCCAAGCAGGCTGATAAGAAGGCCCAGGGATTCCCTCCTTTGGTGCTGGTGGGAGGTTCAAACTGTGAAAACCCCTGCCCCGTGCTGCTACCCCAGCCCCAAGCCCACAGTGCAGTAAAACCCATAAACCAGTCTCCTTTGCCTGTTCTCAGAGCCATTTAAACCCATTTGGGAGCTGCCTGCTCTCCCCAGAAAGCCCTATTGTGTTAGCAATAAACCTTTTTATATCCTATCTCTCTGAGAGAGAGAGAGAGAGAGAGAGAGAGAGAGAGAGGAGAGAAAGAGAGAGAGAGAGAGAGAAAGAGAGAGAGAGAGAAAGAGAAAGAGAGAGAGAGAGAGAAAGAGAGAGAGAGAGAAAGAGAGAGAGAGTGAGAAAGAGAGAGAGAGAGAAAGAGAAAGAGAGAGAGAGAAAGAGAGAGAGAGAGAAAGAGAGAGAGAAAGAGAGAGAGAGAGAAAGAGAGAGAGAGAAAGAGAGAGAGAAAGAGAGGGAGAGAGAGAGAGAGAGAAAGAGAGAGAGGGAGAGAGAGAAAAAGAGAGAGAGAGAGAGAGAGAGAAAGAGAGAGAGAGAGAAAGAGAGAGAGAGAGAAAGAGCGAGAGCGAGCGCCATTTTTAGACTCAGGGTCCAAACCGAATTTTGGATAGGTGTCCATCCTGTCTCTGTGGGATGTTCACACTAAGGTTCTGGGAAGGATTACATTAATTAAGTGCTGTAAATCACTGAGCACCTGTGACATTTCTAGAAATGTCACCTCTTCCCCTTCTTTTTAAACTTTCTGCACATATTTCAAATGCTCATTACCTTAACTAGATAGAACAAGTCTCATCATCTCTCTTAGTCAACTGTAGAAAATGAAGCTCATTTTCACTGAGTGACTAATCCAAGGTCACATTTTGATACTGCCCTGAAAGTTCTCTAACACATGCAAACATCCTAACTCATGAGAAATTCAGCTGATTTAAAAACTGTATATGGAAGTCTAATTTGTAGATACATAATAATGGTGATGATCATGAGAGCTCACCCTCTTTTCAGCACTTGCCACGTGCCTGCACTGTTCCAGAGATTTTGCAGATATAATTTGCGGATCCTTGCAATGTACTATGAGCCGGGTGGGTGCTGTCCCCACCCCCATTTTATAGATGAAGTGCAGAAAATAAAGTGACTGTCCTAATGTTGCACTGCTAGTAAGTGTGAGACCTGGAATTTGAGCCAGCCAGGCTGGTTGATACGGGGCTATGTAGAATCTAAAGAGTGCCTAGATGAAAATCCAGACCTGGACATGCCATATTTACAATAGGGAGCAGGAGCTATAACCTGCTTGAGTTTTATCAGCAAAAAGGGGATGAAGTAATTTCTGAGTCCATCTTGCTCTAATTGAGCTTGTATGAGTGTGCTCAGCTGGAATAAAAAGGCACAGAGGTGACAAAGGCATAGCAGAGTCTCCTTATGCCACATGCTAACCAGGTACCTTCACCTTAGAGTTAGAATTCTGGGTCCTAGCTTCAGTTATTTTTATCACAATGGCAAGCAAATGGACACAACATAAAAAAGAAGGTTTCTGATAGGTTTGTAAAAACTTTAACTCACTAGAAATTGAGGCTGCTCTTGCTTCTTCTGGTTCATTTGGAGAAGCAGGTAGGTATCAGAGGTGGCAGTGGCTGGGCCAATTTTTCTTTTCTGGTGAGTGGTACAGAAACTCCTTCTATTGGGCTATCCATCACAGGTAGGGGCTATTTAAATTTGTATTACTTTGCTTGTAAAGCTTATTTCATTTTTATGGAATAATTCTTTGCCTAATTGTCAAGCAGTCAGATACCTGTTTGTTTTTCCATTACATGTTCCCTAAAGATCTTATCCTTCAGGATTATAATAAAAATGTGTTAATTTCTGCACTTGGAGTATAAAGGGGACATTTGTAACTGCTTTTCATGCAAGTTAATTTTACTCATTAAACTGATTTTATAACCCTCTCTTCTGATTAAGCATGCTAACTTGAAGCAATGGTCTGCTTCAGAGGAAACTTTTTGATTGAGGTTTGCTAACAAACAATAACAAATAATTCTAGTTCTCTGCAGTGCATCAGTCTTTGTTACTGGACATTACACACACACACACACACACACACACACACACACAAACTCACATTGTAGTATGTACAAAATGTTGAATAGTAGCTGAGATGTAAAGAAACATTGCTTCTTTCTCTGTTTTCTATGAACTTCTTATGACCTTGAGAAAATTATTGAACATCCTTGAACCTCAGTGTTCATATCTCTAAAATGGACTAATAATTCTTGTCTTATTTTCTTTATAGAAATGATGTAACTCACAAATAAGAACCTAGTAAAGTTCTTTCTACAAGTGTAAAGAAGTATGTGAGAAAGAAGTTTATGAGATTTTGAAAGAAGGTAACATGTTGCACAAATAAAAGATATACAAAGAAATGATTGTATTTTTCCCATAGAAAATGATTGTTAGTTTATTCAGTGTGTTCGATCGTCCTTCTTCAATGGAGAGCTTTTTCTCTCTCCTAGGATGAACTATGTTATGACATGTTTTGAAAATGAAAATTTAATTGTATTACAAATTTTTAGAAAGTTGTGTACTTTTTATTTTGAAATAAATGATTTCTTAGAAAATTCTCAGTGACTTGAAGTTTTCTTTTGAAATGAAAGAAAAAACGTCAAATTTTTTGTAAGAATTCTAAGAAAAGAAGGACACATGATGTTTTCTTGGTGTTATCAAAACGGAAAAATTTGCTTATTTCGTGCGTTGGATTCTTGCTGCATCCTTAGGAGGCGTCACTCTTCTCAGCTTGGCCACCTCACAAAAACGCATTCCTGTCTTTAGCTTCCTTGCTTAAACTTCTCA